ACACTCCCCAAAATCACTTTTTATGGAAACAGTCCAAGGTGGACAAATTCTGAACCATATCACTCTGCCACACTCTCCCTTACCAAAGGCAAATCTGGCTCAATCGGGGATGGGCACTTTAACTGTGGTATGGAGACTGAGGTGGCCTGGCATGAAAAACTTTGCCCAAACAGAACCAAATGGGGACTAGAATCAACCCATTAAGAATCTCACCTAGAAATAGATCTAGATACATAAAAGCATGCAGCAGACTATGAAACTTCAGAGGGAAGTCAGGGTGGGTGGGTGGGTAGGTGGGAAGAATTCGAACAAAGAATTTGGATGCATATATGCATAACCCATGGACACAGATATTAGGGTGCTGAATGCCTGGTGTGGAGGGGGGTGGGGTAGAGGAGGTCATTCAGGGGACATATGTAATACTTTCAACAAAATGTTTTAAAAAAAGAATCTCACCTGGGCAATACAGAGAAGGTTAGGCAGTTAATATCAGGAAAGGAAGCTGACAATGGAACTAATCAGAGTGATGCTCAATGAATTTCTGCTGCTGAGATGAGAGAAGTTCATGACAAAAATAATCAGGTTCTAGGACTACCAGGGGATGTCAAATGACTTTCTTCTATATCAGCCTCCATGAGGCTAGTAGCTGTAGAAATGTTCCTGGAATTCCAGTAATTTCTAGCTGCCTGATTCCACTCAGTGTTATCCTTTAAAAATCTAAGTAAATCAGGTCATGCCACTACTCTCCTTAAAACTCTCTAACAGCTTCCCAGCTCTCTCAGAGTAAAAGCCCAAGTCCTTCCAAAGGCTCCCAAGACACCACATTCTATGCCTCTAGCTACACTGGCCTCTGAAATGTGTGGAAAAGGGCTAGCATTTGCTTTTGCTGTTTCCTGTTTCTCATAACTTCCCTCCTCCAGTGGATAACATGGCTCATTCCCACACTTCATCTAGACTTTTACTCAAATACGACTCAAGTCAGAGAGGCCTTCACTGACCACCTGATACAAAATAGCAACATCCCCTCTCCAGCAGAGATCACAACCTGACATGTTATGTATATAATTTTAAAATTTATCTGACTTCTCTTACTAGAATGTAAGCTGTTGAAAAGAGTAATTTATTTTGTTACTCCTTTAAGGGATATCACTCTGCTATGTAAAAACAAATCACATAATGTTAAGTGCTATTCACTGAACTATTCCAACTCTACATATTACCAAAGAAAATTAACTCTTAATAGGATAGCAAATAAATGTGTTTTTTTAAATTTATTATACAGTAATAACTTGAAATAAATATAATATGGATGGCATTTGAATTACTACAGGTGCTATCCCTAATGGATAGGGCAAATATGTCCCAAATCTTACTCTACAGAACTATGAGGTCATCAGGAAAAGAGACTTTTTACTTTTCAACGCAATAATATATATTCCTATGCTACTACACTTCACAAAATAAATGCACTGGTTTATAGAACATATAGACATACAGATGACTTTTTAATAAGTGAAAATTCAATCTCAAGAGGTATTCTTGTATCATTAAAATTAATCTGAGTTATATGGCTAAGTTCTCTACAACAATGAAATAGTTTTATTTTATTAAACTGGTAGATGAGTTCACAGCTGTCTTAACATTCTTCATACCTTTTTGCAAAAAGATTTCATCATGATGATTTTTTAACTGAAGTTAGGTAAATTTTAATGAAAGAAATAATGTTAAAATATTTAGTATGTGACAATAAAAGGAGGGTATTTTTAAAGATTTTCCTTATTGTGAAGCAATATAAAAAAGTGGTTAAGGGTCCAGGCTCTGGAGAAACACTGAATTACAATCTTAGCTCTGATGCTAACTAGCTAAGCAACATTACAATGGAGAAAATTACCTAACCTTTCAGAACCTCAATTTTCTCATCTATAAAATGAGAACAATACTAATATTAACAATAAAGATGATCTGGTTGGCTGTATATACGATATTTCAAGTTCTTAGAACATTTCCTGGGGGTCAGTAAATACTATATAGTGTTCATTGTTATTATTTTTTAATGTTTTTAAAGATGTCTTTAGAATATCCAGGAAGGCATTTGAAGACAGAGTTTGAATTTTAAGAGAGGTTTGAGCTTGAAATATAAATCTAGGCATTAGAGGGAGGAATGGACAAATGGACACACACACACACACACACACACTCTCATACTCTTAAAACAGTGTCTAACATATAAGTACTATGCAAATGTTAAAACGGTAATTGTTTTGATATTATACAATTATTGTTATTTTAATAATGACTTTATGTCACTTGAATTTAAGATTAAAATGGAAGCATATAGTAAGTGCTCACTAAAGGTTTAATGAATGTAAATAATTTTTGGTGGTTACCTTTTTTGATTCATTATAATAAAATCTAGACTGAAATTTTAATAAAATACAAAATTTGTATTTCTTATACTAAAAACCTAAATTTAACAGCTAATAAACAATTACTAAACACTTATGACAACACTAATATCAGCTTTGACTTGAAAACATCTTCAAATTTTATTCATTCAATTAATTTAGAATAACAAATAAGTGTATATATTTCATATGCCTATGAGCCATAGAAAAACAACCCCAAGTAAACTATAATCACCAATTAAGTTCTTCTGATTCCTTAGGCTTAAATATTCCTACCCAAAATAGGAATATTTTGGGTAGGAATATTTTGGTAGTATTTCCCCAATTTGTTCGGTCGCCATCTTGTCTCCTCTATTTCCCCAACATTTGTATCTTATCCTCAACAGTTTGTCTCACATAAAGAACAGGACTGGAGAGGAAAGGGAGCACAGACCAAGTCATTCACCACCTAAACAAAACTGGGGGGGGGGGCAGTGTACATTCCAGTAGGATGGTTTACACAGAATTTTTTTTAAATCTTATATCCCTAATATGCACCAAATATGCCTGTACAAGATAATCTAGCAATTACATTCTGCCTAAAAATGTTTCTTGATTTCAACTCATATTATAGTTAGCTCTATTTCTCCACTGCAATCCCTTACCTACAACAGAATCTTACCATAGTACATGATATTCAATTCAGAAGAATGAGGGGAGGGGACAGGTACTGGCATAATTAACAAACCTAATTAGGAACACAGATGGAAGTTCCCCTCAGAGAATCAGGAGGCAGAGGGGGTGATTCTGGGCCTTAAATTCAGGGGTGCATATCACAAGTTCCCAGGACAAAGGCTAGCCCCAAAAAGCCTTTGTCATTTTCCATTTTCCTAGTTCCAGAGAAATATTTCTAAAGTAAAGGAAAAAGTGGCTACCTATCCAGGGGCCAGTTGAATAAACTTGGACCATTTTGAGAGTGACTGTACAGTCATAAAAATACCAGATTGTAATCTCGGGGTTCCAGCATTTTTATAAGCAATATCACAAAAGAGCATTATGTCTCCTAGAATATTTCCTTCTGCACTCAGATTCTGAGGAAGAAATATGCCCCACATTGCCTCTCTTCCACTATGATTTTCCCCAAAAAAGGCAACCTTTGTCAACAAGGTATAAAAGCAGGTTTATAGTATAAACTATAATGGTACTTTTTTTCAAGAGTACCATTTCTGATTTTTCTGCTTTTGAGGGCAAAAATATGAAGTGTATGCCTCAAAATGTTTACGTAAGAATTGGTGATGCTTTTATAAAGGCCGACAATGAGAGGCCACATTCAGATAGTTTTCCTGATAGTATGGATTACTGGCAATGGTGCATTTAAGAGATTTTCTCTTTTTTTGCACCTCCTTTTTGAAAACCAATTAAGATAAATGATGCTTTATTGTTCTACCTGTCAAAATAGCTATATATACTTTTAATTTTTTTTTCTAACACAATAAGATTAGTGACTTGGAAGATACCATCTTTAATGTGTAATTAAAGGTTTACTTCATTCTGTTTTTTAAAGTCCCACAGGTAATATACTATATACTTAATTGTATTATTAAAACAAGGATTTAATATATATTATTGGTATTATACAGAAAAAAGAAAAATATGCTTGATATGTAAAATTATTATTACTCAAAGACAAAGCGAAAGGTTTTTAAAGTATATTTAGAAAAAAACCACACAATAAAGATTTTGCAAAAGTATTTTAATAAAACATTCAAAAATTTTGGTTAACCTTACTAAGCTTAATATACCTAGAATTACATATTCTTTGTTTGCCTAACCTATAAGAATAAAACCTTCTTATATATAAAACAGTGTTTAGGTCTAAAACTACTTTAGAACATCAAACATAAGAAAATCAGGCATCCATGTACCATAAAACAACAACACATTGTAATTTAATCCAAATATCACTACATCCTATTTGAAATATCCATTAAACAATCATTTTTTTAAAAAAGCATTCAAAGATGACCCTGCAATTTAAACACAGTATAACCTTATTTAAGAAAATAAACCTATGGTTATAAAAGTAAACAATTCAATAAACACTTGAATTGAGCATTTGAATTCACTAAGTGCTATCTTTATCCACTACTATATTTAGTAAGAGATAACAATGTCTATAATAAGCTAAATCCAAATAAAAAATAAGTAATTACAAAAACATTTTTTTCCTTTTTGGTCTCTTAGCTGGCTCCGTGACTACTTCTATTTTCTCCAAATACCTAGACATTTCAAAAAGAAGGTCCCACACAACAAAATCAAAATTTTCAACTTTTTCTGCACCTCTTTGCCCCCAAATTTACCCGATTGAGTGTTTTTACTTGCTTGCTGATAAATTCTACAAAGGTCCAATCAATTTATCCATCTCGAGCTCTCTCTGAGCTTCAAATATAGTTAGAAAAACAGAAAAGTTCAAAGCCGTTGTAAAAGCAGTGAGGTTCCAAAGGGATGCCAGTTAAGATTTCTGTTGAAAAATCAACCTACTTTCTAAAAGTCAACAGGTGAAACTCAGTCACGGCCGGAGGCAGTGGTCTTCAGAAACGGAAAATTCTCACCACCTCAATCGGCAGACTTAAAATGCTCTCCATCCACAGTTGGGTAGATGTGGCCCTCGACCATCAGATATTCCAGGGCTTCCTGGATGGCCTTCGTGCTCAGGCTGCCGAGCTCGGCCTGGAGCTCTCGGACGCTCTTGCCTTCCTGGCGAGGACACTCGTGAATCAGACGCAGCACCTCCGCCTGAATAAACTCGGGGCGGACCTCGCCATACTCTGGCGCCAAGCCCCCCTCGGACAGAGCGGGGGGCGCGCTTGGCCCGCAGGCCTCCTCTCGGGCTTTCGCCAGCATCATGTGCGCGTTGACCGTCTCCAGGATGTGCGAGGTGAACTCGTTCATGTCTTCCAGGACACGGATCTGCAACACCTCGAGGAGCTTCACCTCGGCAGAACCTCTGAGGATACCGAACACTTTGGCGTACACTCCCACTGGGCACGGAGCCGGCGCCTGCTTGGCTTTGCCTCTGCCCAGCCAGTGGCGGGCGTCGATAGGCTTGGTGGTCATATCATCGATCTTGTAGAGAATGTAGTTCGGCGCTCTCTCTGCCTTCCTGATGATCCCCACGATGGAGACCTGGGAAACCACTATTCCCTGGACCCTGAAGACATCTTCCACCAGAGAGGCCGTGAGCAGCTGGTTCACGCAACAAGGGATAACGGTCTCGATTCGAGCCCTGGACCTTGGAGCCCTCAGAAGAGGAGCCGCGCCACCCTGAGAGGGGCCGTCATTGCTGCCACTGGCTCCGCCTGGGGCAGAGAAGCCGCCATGGCTCCCAAACTCACTCATCCTAACCACCCCGCACAGGACACAGGCACCCGCACAGACACAGGCTCAGGCTCAGGCTCAGGCTCAGGCTGAGGCAGGTGGGTGAGCGCAGCGGCACTTGCCTGGGGTCCGCGAGGGCTGCAGGACGGGGCTCCAGTCAGCGAGTTCCTCGAGCAAGCTCCGGCCGCCACGGAGGCCACCACAGAGTGCCTGGCTTACGGGCAGGTACGCACGCACGGCTGTAGCCTCACGTCGCCCACGGAGCCAATCGGCTAGAAGCACGGCGCTGCCTCCAGCCAATCAGGGCCCGCCAGCTGGCTGCGTAATCCCGCCATGCTTCAGAGCCGCCTGGTGCTTGCTGGGCTACATTTTTAAAAGGCCCGCGTATAATTTTAAGCCTTTCCTGCCATCTAATAAAAAGGCAGTTTTGCTACCTTCCCCTGACCCTTCCATGCCGAAATTTCACAACTTCTTCCGACAGTCGCTTCTTAAAAATTCCTTTATTCACTCCATCAGCCATTCAAAGGACATTTGAAAAGGCACAGGTGCAGCATGGCGAAGTGCTGTACACGATGTGAAGAGACGAGGACTTGGAGACGGGAGCTGGGGGGTGGGAAGCACGGGATACAGGCGGGTGGGACAGGGGTGTCGAGGGGGTAAACTACCACCATAATTACTTCACCTCCACAGAACCTCTGAAAGAACTCAATCCTTTGTTCAAATAATTAAAATGAAGCATACTTTTATAGTAAAGTGACCAGAGGTCCGCTTTTGGCAGGACAATCCCGATTTTTAACAATTTGTTCCTTGTCCCACGACGTTTTCCGGACTTTTTTAAAACGCCTCAGGGCGTGGGACAAATTGTTATAAATCGGGACTGTCCCACCAAAAGCGGATGTCTGGTCACCTTATTTTATAGTCACTTCTTAAAGAATAATTTATTCCGCCATTCAGTCAGTTAACCAAAGGAAATTTCCGAACACGTAAGTGCACTATGGTGGAGCGCTGTGGTCACGTGAGTTGAGGGAGGAGGCGGGACATGGACATGAGAGGGAGAGGGACAGCGGTGGCTGGGGGAACATGGAGGGCAGGCAGGGTTGACTCGGGTTGTGGGGTTCACCACCATGGTTAGTTACAGTTCTCAAAGAACTCACATCCTGTTCAAGTCATTAAAACCAGAAGCATTCTGGAAGAAATGGCAAGATACCCACCTGTGAATGTATTGAAATGTAAGTTACATTGTACAGTTTTACTTTTTAAATTTGTACTGTAGAATCATAATTTTCCAGTTTTTCTGCCAAATGCATTCTAGATTAAAATAAATACCTATTATAACACAGGTTCACATATACTCACACAGTTCAAAGCTGTATTGTATAAGGGTCAACGGGCTCTGGGAATCCAGTTATGCAGAGATCTATCTTAGGTCATAAGCCGATTTTCAATTGGCGGTAGGCACTCCTATCCTCATGTTGTCAAAGAGTCAAGTGTACTATGATATATTTCAATTTATACATAAATCCAAGCAGAATGACTAAGCTCAGCTCTAAATTATTTTTCAAGGCTCTGTGGCTAGGTCAGAGAAGAAAATCTTAACCCATTATATATTAAGAAAAATATCTATACTAATAAAAGGTTAATATGCTAATTAGGGTAGATGTCTTCCAGACGTCCATCCAGATGTCAATCTGGACAAAACCACAGCAGCTGCAAGGCCCAGGGCTCAGGCAGCCGTGAACCCCGTGGCTGTGTCTGCAGAGGCAGTAGCAGCAGGGTGATGGGGGCATTGCCTTCCTCTGATCAGTCTAGTCACCTCCCATAGAAGGAGGCCACACTGAGGCTTAGGCCCGCTTCTTAAGCTGTCAGTTAGGACATCCCCTGAGGACTCCTGGACTGTGAAAGGGGGCAGGCCAGGCTGAGGGACCCCCCCACACCTGCATAAATTTTCACGCACTGAACCTCTAGTGAATAAAATAGAAATACAATTTCTATATAGTCTTATGCACTAATTTCTGAACTTAAGAGTCTAGCAATTGTATAACTAGATCCCAAAATATTTTCATATTACACTGAAAATCTATTTTCCTTATAAAAACATTTTAATTTTGGTGTAATTAAATTAAAGGCTTTTTATGGTTAATATAGGAATGTCAGTTACTGGAATAAACCATTATCAAGGAACTTATTTAAAAATTCTCTTTAATAATTTTGAAGACTTTATTAATACTTTATCAATTATTTCTTTTATTGGTTAAAATAATTTTATTTTTCCTACTCAAAATTACAGAAATGTTTAGTAGTATATTTAAAACTTGTATAATGTAAAATTATATTTACTTCTCAAGTTAAAAAAGGAATAATATCATAGAACCAATGTACTGAATTTGGTTTACAAATAAATGTATAGTAATCGTTATCTAAGTACACAATTAACTTGTGAATCCATGATGGTTTGTATAAGCAAAGATGAATCAAATGCCTAAGTATATTTGTATTCTTAAAACTGAAAATTATTAAAAATCATATTAATAACATTATTTAAGTGCTTACAATCTCATAATCAGATACTGCAGTTTTATTAACTAACATTAGATTTCTAGTCAGAAATCTATCTTGAGGTTCAAATGAGTGACATATTATATTCCCAAACAATTATATACAGTACAACTTGAATGAATCATACCAAAACAAATAAGAGCCACTTACCTGACAGGATTGCTGGTTAAAGAAACCCTCAGAGATTCTAGGCAGTTAAGAAGTTTCTCATCTGAAATCCCAGATCGTAATTCATGAACATATTCTTGTGAAGACAGAGTGCATTCATGTTTGCTGTTTTTCAGCCCTCCCTGTGGGGGAAAGAAATATACAATTTCAGAAAAACAACAGGGGTTTTTTTTTTAGTTTTTTTTTTTTTTAAAGAAACTTTCAAATAAAATAATGCATAGAATATGTTTAGATTTTTCTTTATAAAAATGTATGCAGAGTACTAGGTACTTTAAAAATTCATTGTTATAGAACTGAAGTGGTAAAATCACATTGTGTGTATCTCAACACTCTCCTCAGCCTCATAAAAAAAAAAAAGAAAAGAAAAAAAATTGCACTGCTGGTGATCATGACCTTGAATAGAATATGGACTTGAGTTGCATAAAGCATCACTGGCAAGAATGCTTACATTTACAACCCAGGCATCAGGATTAATATTACAATAGTTGATCTTTAACCCACAGGATAAACATTTAGCATCATCTTAATTTTCCTTACTAAGGTATTATATTATACTAGAGGCCCAGTGCATGGGTGGGGTCCCTCAGCCTCGCCAGTGATCAGGGCTGATCAGGGCCACAGGAGGTTGGCTTGGGGGAGGGGTCGCAGGAGGTTGGTTGTGGGAGCGCACTGACCACCAGGGGGCAGCTCCTGTGTTGAGCGTCTGCCCCCTGGTGGTCAATTTGCGTCGTGTTGACCGGTTAACCAGTTGTTTGGTCACTTAGATTTTTATATAGGTAGATTCCACAAAATACAGTGCATGAAATTTAATATAAGATATTATACATTACCCACATTTATTAAAATACCAGTATCAGCTTATCTCAACAAACAAGTGAAAATGATTAAAATGTAAAACAACAGTTTCCAATGAGCACATTAATTAATCAAATTAATTGAAAACATTCAGTTCCCAACTATTTCTTTCTAACTTTGTTACTCTATTATAGATGAATCTTAAATAAAAGTCATTAAGCCGAAACCAGTTTGGCTCAGTAGATAGAGCATTGGCCTGTGGACTGAAGGGTCCCGGGTTCGATTCTGGTCAAGGGCATGTACATTGGTTGCAGGCACATCCCCGGTGGGGGATGTGCAGGAGGCAGCTGGTCGATGTTTCTCTCTCATTGACATTTCGAGCTCTCTATCCCTCTTTCTTCCTCTCTGTGGAAAATCAATAAAATATATATTTTTAAAAAGTCATTAAATTCATTGATCTGATCATGACTAATATTTAGCTTAATTTTCAGTACACATGGTGTTATTTTATTTCTAGAACTCATTATCATGTCATTTGTTCTTTAGCTTCACCACCTTGCCATCTATACTAATAAAAGGGTAATATGCTAATTAGACCAGGTCGACTGGACATCATCCAGTTGTCCAGTCCTCCTTCCAGACAAAGCCACAGTGGCAGTCACTGAGGCAGATATAGTGAGGGCAATCAGGCCGGCAGGGGAGAGCAGTTAGGAGTCATCAGGCAGGCAAGGGGAGTGATTAAGGGTGATCAGACTGGCAGGCAGAGGAGGTTAGGGGCGATCAGGCAGGCAGAGTGGTTAGGGGCTATTAGGCAGGCTGGCTGGTGAGCAGTTAGGAGCCAGTAGTCCCGGATTGCTAGAGAGTGCAGGCCAGGCTTAGGGACACACACCCACATGTACAAATTTTGTGCACTGGGCCTCTAGCAACTATATAATTAGTTTGAGTGAAAGGCTAGGAGGAAAACATCAACACATTCACTGTAACAATAACTGATAGTTTTACTTTATAGACAAACATGGCCATAACTGCCCTTTTCCTATATTACAAGCATATCCCTTTGAATAAAAACTCTAGCTTGATTCCCATTTTCTAAATTCATACAAATTAGACTCAGTTTCTGCTAAGTACATTACACTCAGTTTCTGCTAAGTATCTAAGCTACAGTAAGGAAATAAAATTTTTTCCCACTTGGTAGAAGTCATATTATTTGATAGTTTTTAAAAAATTATACTATTGGTTTTTTATTGAGAATACCTTCTCAATATAGAAATTGTTAATCATTCATAATGTCTTAATGTTTTAAAATTCCAGTAAACATTTAAGTTCCATATATGGAAACTCCATTTTCTTATTGCACTGTGCTGCCATCACTCCTATAGCACTTAACACATTGAGACAAAGATAATTATTTGTGTCTGTGTCTTTAAACTGGGAAGTCCATGTATGCCAAGTATCTAACAGTAACTGAATTTGGTGAGCCACAACAAAAGTATGTTGTTATT